TATTTATATAAATATGTAAATATAAAACAAGCACCAGTTCTGAAGCTGCCACCCAGCGGAGTCACTGACTTCGGGTGGGACATATGTTTCTAGAGTTCTGGGGAAATATGAAAACTGCCCTAAGACCAGTGACCTCCTGAGGCTTCTTGCTGTTACAGATTCACGTGAGGGCCTCTCCCCAAGGGGCCAGGTCTGTAACTGCAAAGATGCTTGAGTGTGTCTCTCTGGTCTTGTTTTCAGTTTCACAAAACCAAGAGATAAAGAGTCCTACCCAGCAGGGATGATTAAAAAGAATCAAAAAAATTCCTTAAAACAGGAGCCTTCCCATATACCATTTCCCTGCCTCTCTCTCCCCCACCCCCATACACATCTCCCTGCTATTACAGAGGCTTGTGTATTTGAGGGAAACAGGATATAGATGGATATGACTTATGATGGAAGAAAACCCACCAGGTTTTTAGGGAGCCTCAGAGTCTATCCCTACTCATTAAAAATTGCAAATGGCCTAAGACAGGACCAAAGATCCATGGAATTCTAAAGGCCATGACTGTGTTGCTTCTTCCCAAGGACACCCTGGAGAACCCAACAGTGAAAGCCTTTTTGAACAGACATCTTGGTGAGGACGGTATCACTGCCGAAGCTGTGCTGAACTTCCTCTACAAGGGTCCTCGAGAAGGCCGGGCTGACGACTCAGCCAACTTCGACTGGAGGGATATATTTAACGTCACTGACCGCACCTTGCGCCTGGCTAATCAATACCTGGAGGTAAGGGCAGCGAGTCACCCAAGGGCTGCACTGGGCCCCTCCAGGACGGCCCTGTGTGGAGCCAAGTTCCCTTAGCAAGTCCAGTGGTCTTGGGTTTCAGCTCTCATCTTCCCCATTGAAGAAACAAGTGTTCCCACAGCCCCCGAACAGCAGTGCATGCTGTTCTCTCACAGCTTCTCCTCAACTGAAACAGTTCCTTCTTCACATCTCCTGCCCCCTGACAAACGGCTCCCTGCCTCCTCCTTGGCTGCTGCTCCCCCGGAGTGTCCGTGTCTGCCCTCAGCTATCTCCTGGCTGCCGTGGCTCCAGTGGCTGTCCACTGGCAGTGTCCACCACACCCCGAGCTCCAAGGTGCCCTGTTGCGGGATGCTCCCACCCCCGGGCCCTACAGGCACATCAGACAGGCGGGTTCTCTCAGTCCTCCAGCAGCTCCACCAGGAGTGCACCATCATCATCCCCACTTTACAGATGCAGAAGCTGAGGCTTAAAGAGGTTAAATAAGATTCCCATCCCACAGCTTGTGGGTGAGCAGACAGGATGCAGATCTGGCGCCTGACTCAGAGCCTGCCGTCCTGGCCCCTCCACTGCCTCTGTCACATCACCTCGCTCTGTCTCCTCATCTCCTAAGTATCTCTCGACTCTGCCTCTTGCTTCCCAGGCTCTCTGAGGCCCAAAGGCCTCGTCATCATCTCTCCACCAGCCTCTTCATCCCAGCTCCAGCCCACCTTCCCACCACTGCTCACTCACACATCTCTGGCTCTGCTCTGTGGGCCCTTCCACCACCCTCTGGCACACCCTGGCTTCTCATGATTTCATCCTTTGCAACTGGCTGTTTCTCTACCTATTTGTTAGAGCTTTTCTGCTTAAACAAAAAAGAGAAGTTATTGGTTGGCATAACCTGGAAGCCCAGGGGACCTCGGATACCGTGTCCTTCCATCTCTCCTTTCTGTCTGCCTCAGCTCGGCTTTGATCTCAGCCAGGCCCTCTCCATTCGGTAGTGTGTCAGCTGCTCACAGTCCTCAGTGGCCGTCTTTACACAGAAAGCTCCGCAGAAAGAGGGAGCGGCCGTCCCAGAGCATCAGCAGTACTCCTGACGCGTTCTCTGATTGGCCTGGCCACCCTACCTTCCTGGGAGTGCCTCAGGGATGGGTACCCCCGCGGGGTGGGGAAAGCAGGCAGCTTCATCTGAATCTCCTGGACTGAGCAAGCTTGCTGTGACGAGGGGGAGGGTGTTCCCCCAAAAGAAGAAACACAAGGCAGAGGGTCTGAAAGGGCTTCTCCGTCCCCGTTTGCTGAGCTTCTGCTCGTTCATCCTTTGAGACTCGGCTCTCAGGTGTCACTTCTGCTTCAACGCAGGGGAAGTCGTTCCCTCCCCTGTGCTTCCGAGGCCTCTCTTCCAGTCTCTCTCAGGCGCTGTTCGAGTCAGATGCAGGTCAGCTGCCAACGATCCACCTCTGGCTGCTCAGCAGACTGGAGTTCTCAGCGTCAGGGAGCACATGCTAGTTATTTCTAAATTCTCAACCTCAAACTCCTAGGGAACATCTCTGTCTGAGAGTGTCTCACACTTGCCAGAGGGCTTCATGTCATCTAGAACCATTAGTGGCAGAAGATGCTCTGGACGACAGAGGGAATTAAGCCCCTAAGGGCCAGCCCTGCCCCAGACCCCATGGTCCTGGTCCCCAACTAGTAAGAAAAGCCCAGCTCCACCTGTCACCACAGGGCTCTTGAAGACTCCCTGCTGCCTGGGTGCCACCAGAACCCCCCAGAGTGGGTGATGCTCCTTCTCCAGGGCCATGGGGAGGCAGCACGGGCTCCCCAGGCGGCCTTTCAGAGGGGCCAGGTGTGGCAGCATCAGCACTAAAGTTCATGTCATGACAGAGTGATTCCCCACCTGTCTGAAGGCGAGAATGACCATGGGTGCTTTTTTACAAAACAGATTCCTGACACAAACCCAGATCAACTGACTCAGAATTTTCAGGGAGGAGACCTGGTAATCTGTATAGTTACAGACCTACTAGGTTGGTGGTGCCTTGAAGTCCCCTTGTACAATTACTCAGCTGACATCGTCTCTTCTCACAGTCCTTCTACCAGCTAAGTCCCCATCCTGGGCCATGCCCACCCCCATTCACTGCCAGGTTATGGTATAGCCAGGTTATAGTATAGCCAGGTTATAACATAGCCAGGTTATAACATAGGCAGGTTATAACATAGCCAAGTTATAGTATAGCTGGGTTATACCATAGCTGGGTTATAGTATAGCTGGTTTATACCATAGCCGAGTTATAACATAGCCAGGTTATAGTACAGCTAGGTTATAACATAGCCCGAACTTTTGGAGGGGGTGTGGATGGAGGGGCTCTATTCCTTTACTCTGTCAGCTGGAGCTCAGTGGTTCTCACATGTTTTTGTGAGGTAATATCAGTAACAAAGAATATTTCTTGTCTTTTGTTTGACTTGACACTTGTGTGGTGATGTAAAGGACTTGTTTTCTTGTAGGATTATTTTTTCCATGTAGTTTGTGCTTAATGTAGCACCAGGCACCCAAAAGACACTTAATATATATTAAATGCTTAAATGGCTAAGAATTCAGTCTCTGAAGCTAGACCACGTGGGTTCAAATCCCTGCTAATTGTGCCTCAGTTTCTGCATCTGTAAAATGGGGGTATGAATAATACTTACCTAATAGGCTTGTTGTGAGAATTAACTGAGTTAATTCATGCAAAGCACATAAGACAGTGCCTGGCATTTAGTAGGCGCTTAGTAAATATTAAGTCTTTAGTAAACTACAAACAAACCCAGAAATGCTACTTGGGAGGAGAAGAGTGAAATTGGTGAAATCAGGCCCAGCCCCTGAGCCGCTCCTGGTGCTCCTCCAGGGGTTACAGAACTGCAAATCACATGTCACATCAGCCACCAACACTTCCCTGGGGCTCTGCAATCCCATTAGCCAAGGGAAGTGCTCCTAAGTGAAGGCCACTGTGGCCACAGGTCAGTGGGCTGCCCCGGGGTTCCTAAGAGGGGTTTGGACCTTCCGCCCTTGGTGGAGAGGGAGGGGGGAAGTAGGGGGATGACCTGAAAGGAGGAGGGGGTTGGGGTGGGGAATGAGCAGTGAGGACAAATCCGATCACTGCAACTGGTCCTGGAAGTCTCTGCTTTTGTTCTTGTGTTTCGGGAAGTCTGGAGGCGGCTTGGAGACCCCCCAGCTCTCATTCTGAGGACGACTCAGTAGCAGACAGGCACTAAAGAGCTTTGAGAACCTCCTCTGGGGACAGCCTCGATACTTCCCAGACTATTCCAGAAAAGAAAAAAAAAAGTCACTTCAGGAAAATTCAGCAAAAACACTCTAAAATGTAAGTTATGTCGATCCAAGTCAGTGTGGCACTCAGATGTGACACTGAACAACAGAAACTCCAGGAACTAAGAGCAAACTTTTAAGCCTTTTGTCATTATACGAAAGGGGGGTGAGTCAAAGGTTTTCTCTTCACCTAAAAGGAGGGCTAAATCTTCTTTCTTTCTGCTTGGGGTGAGGCCTTAGTTACTGGCCATCCCACTGAGTAGCCTGGAGAGCGTCCCATTCCCCTGGAGCTGCCTGCCTGCGCCATCCGATGCCACGTTAGGCTGCTGCTTGAGGAAACTCTCTTACCCAGACAGTGAGGATAAGTGGGCCTGGACGCAGCCTCTGAGCTGCGTCACTCTGGGAAAGCCACTTCACCTGCCGAGGCTCAGTTTTCTTACCTGTAAAACCCAGTAATAACACAGCAGACCCCACAGAGTTGTTGTTGAGGGTAGAGTGAGAGAAGCGTGCAGGGCGCCCAGCACGCGCGTGCCATCGATGAGTTGGGCGTGTGTGTAAGTTCTCTGCCCTCGGTTTCTCGTCTGTTAGGTGGGGCTGGTAATGCCTTCCTTTCCAGTGGCTGTGAGGATGAAATGGGAGAGGGCTGGCACCGAGGAGCGCCATGTGCGTGGCAGCTCTTGCTGTGAACCGCAAGGACGTGCGCCCCAAACCACAGACCAAGTGAGAAATGCACTTTCCTGAGGCTGGCTTTGTGTAAGTCTCAATCAGGGACTGTGAAGCCGTTTTTCACGTTAACCTGATGAACTGGCTTGAATCAGGGCTGTTTCTCGAGCCCTTCTGGCCCTTCTGTGGACCGTGGCCCAGTGGATCCAGGACTTCTCTTGCTCTTAGAGCACCTCTTCAATAAGGGGCTTCTATAATCTCATTCATCTCATAACCATGTCCAGTCTTTCCCCTCATGCCCTGCCCTTATCAGGGAAAAATCAAGACATGGATAAAAGGCAGACCTCCTGGTCTGCGGGTGGGCAGTCAGCTAGGGAAAGGAATGATGGAGACACTTGGGAGCCTCATCTCTCTACCAGGTGGAAGGATTCATCTCTGTAGGACTCCTGATCGAGGGTTAGGCCTGACACAGATGGAATGCTATTTAGAGTTCACAGTGTATTTTAATTTTATAGTATATTTGAATTCCAGGTCTTAAGTTTCACATCAGGAAGCTGAATTCAGCCAAACTTTAGTATGAAAATACCTCTGATCAAGGCATAAAATTTAACTAGTCAACGACCTTTCCCTGAGTCTTGAGAAGACGTGTATTCATTAACTGCTTTTATCTCTGCTGTCAGCACAGTCAGTGTATGTGTGTAACTCTTTATTATCAACACGGTGGTTATCTTCTTGATGAATGATCAGGAGGGGTCTGTTTTGGACTACTTTTCCTCTGTGCCTAGCATGCCCCTGGCTTCATGTCACCACTACCCGACCAGAACGTGCTCAGGGAGTGTAGTTTTCAGGCCTAATAGGATTAAGAAGACAGAGCTATTGATCATGTCACCTACTTTAGAGTCAAAAGCATAGACGTCTGTTGCATAATATCTGACCTGTTGCCTTCTTCTGCTGATTCATTGACTCCAAATGTGCATTAAGGGGCAAGGGAAAAGTCAGGGAAGAGGTCAGAAGGGTGCAAAAGCCTGTACCATGAGAGCAA